TGTCTGTCACACCACATATAATATATCATTTGAAATACAACATTCTGTTTGTTTTATGTCCCGGAGCATCTGACCAGACAAAGAAAGTATAAATTATTCAGTAAGGTGGCATCCATTCAGCTTGTGTATAGTACAGCTATGGCATATTATAATTTCTGGATGTGGATAACTGTTTGGTGTATCTAGGTAGCTCCTTGTCTCCCCGTGTTGGATTGTCGTTAGATGGCCAACACGTATCCTGCTCAATGACTTCTTAAGAGGCAGTCTAAGAGTTTGTTCATGAGCATGGCTGGTCTGTTGTCACTGTTTATGTCTTCTTTGCAAAGGTATCCTCATAAGCACTTAAAGAAATGGAGGAGTCAGATTTAGTTTCCTCTTTGTTATTGGAGAAGGTAAAAGAACTTCTCTGTCGTATGTTGAACGATACAAGTGAAACAGAGTCTCGTACTACTCAACCAAACGTAAAGTGAGAGCAGAATTTCTCCGTGGAACTGATTTCTGCTTGCATTTCCCCTTTTCAGCTTGGCCTCGTTCACAATGTATTCAGAGAGCAGCTGATTTCTTCAGCTGATCCTCCTGCTGGGAGGCACACAGAGAGTTCAGGGAGGCTTTGGCTTTCTTTGCGGCGACAGAAGATGCTTTATGGCTTTAAATCTGGCTTTCGGCTCACACGTCCAGAGGAAGCAAAGCACACAAGATATCGCTTTTGCTGGAGCACCTAAAACTCTCGTGTTATTTATTTATTTATTTATCTCATGTAATAGTTTAGTAGTTCACTGTCAAGATTTAGTTTTGTCTCATGTTACGATAATGTAGGGAGGTGAAATAAGTCCTAAAAAGTTATACATATACACACACACATCATGTAAACATACTGTATATATGCGTATAGACAGAAAAATTGCAACGCGGAAAAACTTTTTTTGAAAGAAAAAGCTATTTCCTTGTACATGTTGGTTTTGATCATCAGCTTTATCTTCGTTTCATCGATATGTTTTAAACATGGGTCTTTCGGTTTATGTGTCCATTTTCCCATTTATCTCATATAGCAATCGTTCATTACATTACAGTCATTTAGCAGAAGCAACTTACAATTCAGATTCTATCACAATTCTACACCGTAGGCACGGTGTAGAAGGACATTTTGGGGGTAAGTGTCTTGCTCAAGGACACATCGACATGTGACTAGTGGAGCCTGAGCCTGGGATCGAACCGCTGATTCTCTGATTGAAGGACAGCCCTGCTATCCACTTCGCCACAGTCGCCCCCATTAGTATATTTGTTCATTTTTAACGTATTTACATTTCTCTTGATAAAAATGAAGAGTCAGAAATCAACAGAAATGATTAATTAACTATCATCTGTCTCCTGTCCTCTGGTGGAAAACCTCCGGACAGGAGACAGAGCGGCGGTGAGGTTACATCAGCTCATGTCCGACAGCACCAACCAATGACCTACAGTGATGCTGTCGCTCTGTCAGCCCCTGAGGGGGTCGTGTTGCTTTGACCCACACAGGATGGACGACAATAATCACACATGGAGGACACAAGCAGTCTCTGCTGCACAGATAGAAGTAGAGGTTACGTGTTAGATATGTTTGTTAAAGGTATGTTATTCACATGTCAATGTGCACACAGGGATATATTGCCTGTTTTTCTTGCTAGCTTCTATTCACAGGACCGCTATGAATTCAGTACCGTGTTGTGCGGAACTTTGTTGGTTATAACCCGTTGTGACAAGCAACCCAATGAGATATAATGATAAGGATGTCCGTTCGAACTGCATTAAAGCCACAAGGTTGTGTGTCCACATCCCCATTATTATATTATGTAGTGCTCAAGCAAAAAGGCAAAAACAACAGCAAGAAAAAGGCACCCAGACACTGAAAGGATTTGTCCTGATATTGACAGGATTTTTATTACATTTTAATGTAATTAATGAATACACTCAATACATCACCTGCCCAACCTACTCTCCATTTGATCAATATTATCCATGCACAGTGCAACGTTGGTTTCTGGGTGAAGCACTGGCTATAAAATTGAGTTTCTGCCTAATATGTTAATGATGATGTTGATGACAATTGACTGCTCGAAATATGTAGCTTTCAGTAACTTTATTCAGTAGGTGGCGGTATTGAGCCACACAGAGTGAACTGCGCATATTAATCCCATCACCGTTTCCTTCAGGTGGGCCTCTGCCGTGTTGTAGGACTCGAGAGCACTTCTTGAAGGTCTCGGAATCGACCGTATATTTACTGTCTGGTCTCAGTCTCAGACAATGAGGACTCAGGATTTTATTTCAAGACCACAAGTGCGGGGATATCACTAAACTGCCTGTGCATTGTCTCATAGAAAACAATGGAACACTCCCACAAATAAAATGTACAAAATCTTTATGAATATAGTACAGCTTGGTTTTTATGCGGAAGAGTAGAATATTCTGCTTCCCTTAAAGGGCCAAGTACCAAATAGTACTGCCAGTGTCCCTCGGCTCACAGCTCTTCGTCTTTGCTCTGTCCAGCTCTCCTTTTGCTAATCCCAGTTACCGTGACCTCTGACCCCTTGACTGCATCTTATGTAAGGAGCTGGTTAAAGAAAGCACACAGGAGCAGCCCGCGGTCTGTTGGGTAAGCTCATTAACAGTTACTCCAGGACGCCTGACAACAGCTACAAATAAACCACAGTAGTGGGAATAGTCAACCGAAGAAGGGATGACACTAGATAAAGGTGTTGGGCTTTGTTTCCGGTTTCCTAAATAGTCTGGGTTTCTGTATTTGGAACATGTTTGACTTGATTGTCTCAAACGTACTGAAACTTGCACTTGTTGTGCATTAAAGAAACAGTATTGAGTAGCCTACAGGGTTTGTGTGTCTGCGTCTGATTACACTCTCTTACATTTCACCCATGTCACTGACATACAATCTCTCAACATGTGAGAATAGAGACGGCAGACGGAGAGAAAACACACCATGTGTAGGTTCAAATTCGTCACTATTTTTTATGTTTTAATGTTCGTCTTTTAGAAATACATGACCTCCACAGCGGAAACCTTTCTACCCCAAACACACACTTACACACACACACACCACAACACTATGCTCAATCTGTCCTTTCTTTATCAGTGAGGATGAGTCACTCTGCGTAGATAGTCCAATACGCAGCCATTAAAGCAGCTGACTAATCAAACCATTGCTTTGACTGAAGCACCAGTTTTTCTACCAAACTGTAACACAAGAGCATAATACTATTAGGATGAATTTGTCCTTTGCCTCTCTCTCTCTCTCTCTCTCTCTCTCTCTCTCTCTCTCTCTCTCTCTCTCTCTCTCTCTCTCTCTCTCTTTCTTCCAGCCTAAAATGTGAGTGAGCATGTCTCATGATCACGGCTGACAGTGTGTACTCTGCAGTGGTAGACACACTGTCCTCCTCCAGTGTGACACATTTTTAACTAAAAAAACGTGTCACGCTGGAATTTGTAAAGCTCCAATGTGACAACTTGCAGTTGTGTGCAGTTGATATATTTTTCTTCAGTTTCCAGAGTGCTATAAAAACAAGTTGTTTCCAACTGCTTAAGTCTCATCTGTCTTCAGTTTTTCTACAGAATAAAATCCATCCTCTCAAAATTGGACAAATGATCTTCTCTTGTTCTAAAGTCTAACCTTTGACAGCCCCAGACCACATTATTCTGATCCATCAGCTGAAGCACAAGTGTCTCTCTTTAGACGGATTTTCCTCATATTTATGGTAATTCTTGCTCATCCTCAGCTTCCATATCCTGCAGGCAAACCTGAGGCTCGACTGTTGGTCCAATCCTCTTCTTGCCCCATTTGGCCATACCATTCAAAAATATGTCTCTTCCATTAGTATGTTGTTGACATTTAATTGAATCTCTCTTTAAAGCCACTGAAAGCTTGTTTTCAAATCTCAAATTGTGTCTCTTAACATCAAATAAAAACCAATCAAAAAAACACTCCTAGTTTTTATTTATTCAGTTTATTTTGTTACTCATAGTAAGTTACCCATATCCATGCTGTCATATTCAAACAAGTCAATTACTTAACTTGTTGGTATCACTCAGAGTTATCTATTTAACCTCCACAACAGTCCAGAGCATTACAGCAATACCTCATAACAAGATTTGGAAAAGAAACAGTATTACTCCTATTATTTCCTTCTTTCACTGGTCCCGCTTTAGTGGTAGAATATTTGTACAAAAAGCACTGCATGGTCTCCCAGCACACAGCGCACATTGCTGAACTCCTTCCCCTAAGAAACCTGAGGTGCTTTTATCAGAGCTTTTATCTGTCGCTGCACTCAAAGACAAAATCATATGGTTCAGTAACTGACCAAAAAACTGATGGGATAATCTTTCCTCTTCTGTTCAATCTTTTTTCAGTCTATTCATGATTTCAACAAAGAACTTAAGGAGACTTAAGGCTTTTATAACAGTGCCTGACCTCTTATTTTTATCCTGTGTTTGCCGGTATGTCTCTGGGCGAGAGATGCTTTTGTCCCACTCTTTGGATTTGTGCATTTATCTTTGCTCCTGTAAAGCTCAAGAGCCAAAAAAAATAGAAATCGAAATTAAATTTCACATTTTAATTATTCTACCAAAATAACCACTAACACCAAATATAGCAAATCCTTGTTTTTTTCTCTTTAAAGCAAATCAAAGTGAACATTTAGACACACTCTGATTCAAGCAGAAGTAATTTTCTCCAACAGCGCGTTATACTATGTGAAACCTTGTATAATATGTATGCAGATGGCTGTAGAGTGTCTGCTCGAGGCAAGCCGAGAGGTGCTACCAGGGGACAGCAGCCATGTGACCATGGTTGCAGGGATTGGTTTAGTGCAGATGTGACATCAGCGAGCCTCCCTCTCCCTCCCTCCTCCCTCTCTCTCCCAGTCTTTCTCTGCCTCTCTCTACCTCTCTCTCTCTGCACTGCTCCGCTTTTTTTTTTCTCCTTTGCCTTTCCTCAGCGTCCCCCCTCTCAGAGATGGCGTGTGTCGGTGCTGCTCGGGCGGCCGGGGCCTAACGTGCACACAGAGAGGACCCCCCCCCCCCCCCCACCCCATCCCCTTTATTTGCTGCATATTCCTCGGGTGTCTCTTTTGACTGTGTCCTCCGCTGCTGCCGGCTCTTGAGATCTTCCCCCACCCCACCTCCCTGTGCGGGTGTCTGGGAGTTGGGCCCTTGGGGGTGGAGGGAATCAACATCGTGTGCTTCGCTGGGGAGCTGTGCAGAATTAGCTATGCAGAATTAGCTATGCCCTGCCCAGGCATCCTTTGACCGGCTGGATTTCTCCATTTCTGTCCGCCTGCGCACCAGAGGACAACATAGGATGAACATCGGCAGTCATGATGCAAGGTAAACGATCTATGCACGCCTTCCCTCTGCGTCCTCCTCCTGCCCTCTTGTGTCCTGCTGGGCCATTAAAGCTAGTGAATCCAGTGATGTGATCCGTCGTAACGTGAGGACCTTTGAGCTGCAATGATCAGTGTGACAGTGTCATTGTGAGTGTGTGTGTGTGTGCGTGTGTGTGAGAGAAAATGTATGAGAGCAAAGGTGTGTGAGGTGTGATTTGTAAAGGAAGAGCAGTGCGGTCCTGCACTTGCTAATGTCTGGTTGTTTGTGTGTTTACATGTGTCTGTGTGCATGTGTGCACATTATAGTTCTGTCTGTAGCTACACACTCAGTCTGTATCAGAGCAATACGTGTTTCAGGAGTAGAGGAATCTGCTCTCATTCATTCCTCTGCTGCTGTTGCTGTCCGTGCATGATGTTATATCATGCCAAAAGGATGATTAAACAATGCATAATTAGGTGCCTGTGTTGCATACTTTGAAGTAAAGGATGCTGTACCAAAGTTAACGGTGGTGAAATGAGGTAAAGTACATTGTAAACTATGGTGGAGGAGCTGAATCATAGGTCTAACCCTCCATGACAGTTGCTGGGCCTTTACCATCCATTAATGCCAACGTGGTAATGGAAGTTGGCTATTATTAGCAAAAGGCCTGCAGTCAGCCTACCATGATATTGCCAGTTCATGGGCTACACAACAAGGCAGATGTCACAGGCACATCATAGCCCTCGTTAGCTACACACACACACACTATAAACTGTCAGGTGTAGTTGGACTCAGTACATTTTATTTTGACTCAAACATGGCTGCAGAACAAAAGTGCTGCAATTGCAACCTTTTTGTTTCTGCAACATTTGGGTTTATCATCTCTATAACAAAATAATGCAATACAATATCTCCAGAACTTGTATTATAATGTTAGACTACCTAGAAATTAGCATCTAAGTCTTTTATCAAATATGTGAAAATGAACTCTTTTTGACCTGTAAGTTTATACAACTGTGGATCGAGTCCATGGTCCGTACCGGTGGTTTTGCATGTCTCAGCCCTGTAACTCCAAATCAAACATACTTTACACTAATGTCAACCATCAGACAGAGCATGGCGTACGGTGTTACATTGATTTCCTTTCTTCCAAGCAGCCTCTTGATGCAGTTAATCCCAGGACTGTGGAAAATCAACTTACCAAAACGTGAAACCTTCTTCACATGTGCAATCCATTGCAGGGAACACTTAGAAGGACAGAAGGATGCTCAATGCATCATCCAACCACTCTGTAAAGCCAATTAGAAGGTGGGCGGAGAAGCTAGACATCATAGAGAAGGGTGTATTTACAGTAGAATATGAAAAACATTATAATCATCAGTAGGTGGTGGTAATGTACCATTTGTTTGTTTGCTCACTGCCTTAGACAAGGTTCAGTTGGTAGATGGGAAGCTAACACAATGTTCTTCATATTTTCAAACTATCAAATTAAAAATAGACTGGAGGTCAAGTCAACAATACAGAAAATAGAAATACTGTATTTACAGGTACCTTTACACGTGGAGTTTAAGTGTAGGCCGAAGTGCTTGCAACGTGTATCAGCTCTGAGCAAATCTGTCCTGGACATTGTTCTGAAATAGTTGGTCCCAACTTTGGCTGTATTGCTTCAGTCTTTCTTCTTTGATTCAATCCTGCTCTCTGTCACTGGCCACCGAGGCATGGTGTTGTTAAGCAGGCAGTGTTGGTGTAGCAGACGTAGGTGTGCAATGAATTTTCACACCTATACACAACAGACATCCAGCATGGATAACTGACAGTTTGTCTGTTTTAGGAATTTACAGAAACTGAAGCAGTGACATCAGGGACGGTCTTCTTGCTGGTTCGTTCAGATATTTGTTTGAAACTCCATCATCAGAGATGTGAGAGTCCGCTGCTGAAAAGATTGACCGCAATGAGCTTGTCAGAAAACCAAACCTAGAGGACAAACAGTAAGAAAGTTACATTTTAGGGTTCATTTTTGACCTTAGTCCAAAAAAAAACAACAAAAAAACATTTCTTCTGGAGCTTTCAGTTGCATCTGGTAGCTTTCATCTGCACGTGTTTGCTCACTTGTAAACTCCATGAACTGATGAAGGCCACCAAATGCCGCTGAAAGCTCTGGAAGAAATCTCTGAAAGAAATCTCACTTAAGTTACCAGATTTCTTCTGGAGCTTTCTGCTTATGAAGACCAGAAGATGCAGTTGAAAGAATTCTAGTAAGTGGACCTTGAGTTGAGAGCAAGAAAGTTGGAATGTCGTGAAAATGTTTTGAACCAGTTCGCAAGTTATTGGGATTTTAAAAGTTGCTGTTTAATGACCGGACATCACGTCTCGGATGTTCGAGTTTCCCTGAAACATTTGAACATTTTGTCAAGTTTAGAGCGTCTCAATGAATTTCATACCACAGTGGAATGGACAGGGACAGATGGCTTCCGATGTGAGATTCGGTCTAAATTCTTTTTTTTATTTGTGTCAAAGCATGAGGGTATGCTTTTGAAACCTTATTTTTAAAGAGGAATGTTGCTGCTATAGTAAAGAACGATGCTGCGTCACGTTATGATTTACTGATAAATGGTCAGCAGTCATGTGTGAAGTATCTGCCCTTTTTAGTAAGCAGGGTAACACAAATCACCACTGTGGTCCTAGCAAAGGGTTCAGCTGAAATATGTCCAAACATCTCTCACGTTTCTGAGAAGCGAAATGAATAAACTTAACTATATTTACAGCTAATATCATTGATTACCTTGTTTAATGAGCGTTGTAGGGCTCTCTTCAGGCAGACTTTGTAACCGGTCTGCTTTATTGTATTATTCAGCAAGTTTGTCAGATATTAATGTCAGGATTGATTCTCTATTTTTACTCCTTATCACAGAAGACACATGCAGGTTAGAAGTGGACAGAAGGCTCGCTGTCTCCACAGATAAAGAGCCGTGATGCAGGAATAATCTGTGCTACTGAGCAGCCTGGCTGTAGCTACTAATACATCACAGGCCCTGACACGTCCTTCAGTACCCAGGAGAGCTTCGTCCCCCGTGAAGAGGGCTCAGCACCGGACTACTTTATTCAAATACTTTATTTGGAATATAAAACGAGACATCAACAACGCAAGATGTCTGTTTAGGGCACACAGTACAGTATGTTCCTGTTCTTTTAAAACACAGCTCACAAATTACAAAAAGATATCATGGAACAGAGAAGAACACAAACTGAGCAGCGGTTGACTAGCACAAAATGTTCATCCGCCCAACTGTCCATCACGTGTCCCTGTTGCTCTTGTATGGATGTGAGAATCGACTGTGCTCTCTTGTCGTCTAAGACACTGTTATGCAAACACGTCACTTGTCTCTTTTGGAGGAAAAAAAACATGTTACACAGCCAATATATAAAAAAGAGAAAATTCCTTTTTCTTCAGGGGGTTTAGCTGTTAGTCTTTGTGTTTTACTAATGTGGTAAACTGTCTTTCTTTTATCAGAGGTACGTGTTAAATACAACATTTTACATCTTTAACCCGAGGGAAGCAGGAGGATTGTCAATGTTAATGAACTCATTAAGCTTCATTAAGTCTCCACACTCATGACTCTCTGGATAGAAATGTCCGTCTGTCTGTGGTCAGTTGGTCTGTCGGTACACATTGAAACATCTCAACAGTTATTGTAAGGATTGCCATGACATTTTCTACGGACAGTCATGATCTCCAGAGTATCAATCTTTCCAACTTTGTTGGTCCTTTGACTTTTCCTTCAGCACCACAAGCTGGTCAAAGTTTTTATCCAGGGACATTTCTCTCACCTCAGCTGTGCTCTGTGTTTAGTGTTAGTTAGCAGCTGTTAACATGCTAACACACTAAACTAACAGACAGACAAAGTCATTAAGTCACATCCGCGCTGGCCTTTGTTACACTAGCTTTTTGCTACTCAATGCAATCTCTTACTCAGCATTTCTTTCATCAGTCTTTCTGAGCATGTTCCTGAGGTTTACTCTCCATTTTCGAAGATTAAATCAACATCCACTACAGCAGCTGCTGCTGTAAATTCAAACATTTGTGATTTTAACAAAGTTAAACAACAATGACTTTGTGTGCACAACAAAAACTACAGCTTCCATGAAAACTTAAAAGCACAACAGCGCGGCTCAACGTCACTTAATTTCATCCATATCCATAAAATTCACCAACGCTCAATTAGCCAACTCTTTAGCTATAATCTCTGCTGGCTTAAAGCTTTTGCAGTGTTCACTCCTCTCTGTGAGTGCACCACGCCCCTCGACTCTCCTCTTTTGTCACGCTGTGATGTTTAGCCTATAGGTCTCGGGTAATTAAATGCCACTAAAAAACGTTCTTATCCAAACATATGAAGCGAGCCACACTACGCACTGTTGAAAACAGCTTTTTTTCCTTTTGGTTGAATAGCATTGTTACAAATGTCAGCAGGTTTTTGGATACGGTTTTGTTCCTCCTGGAACATATTTTATAAGACAATAAATCCAAAAACCTCAAAGACTTTACCATAAGACGGGAACATATGAAAACAAGGCCATAAACAGCACTGGCATTTTCCCTTTAAAAATGACTGAAACAATCAGTCAAAATAAATTAATCAATTTCTGTCAGTCCACTAATAGTTTCAGAAGTTTTTGCAGTTACATAGATAATGTCAGTCAGTGACTAAAAACACAGAGGTAGCATTACTCTAGAATTACACCTAGCAATATTTACTCATGCAGGAACTTTCACTTTGCACAGATTGAACGATGTCCTTTTTGTGTGTAGTTCCAGTCGTCCTGATTCGAGCGCTGTGTGGTGCCAGCCGTCAGTGCTGCAGGCGTCTTGGCACCCAGTCCGGCTGACGGTTGTTGCCTAGTAGATCTCTCCCCACTCACCCTTGAATCTCGCTAATGAAGTGGACACATTGATCAGCCTTTGCTCGTGTTTTCTTTCCATTTTATACAGTCAGGGGGGGACACTTAAGGGGATTTGCATCTGCGCTGCTTCATTTTATTTGGAGGCTTTCTCCAGATGGCAGGATGTTAGTGTCCCGAATCGATACATCAATTCATATCAACTTATTGGGGTTACTGTGTTTCCTGTGTATCCGCTAGGACAGTTTCCTCCTCAAGTTACTGTACATCAAACTGTTACTCTTTTGTGTTATTTGCTTTTAAGTGCATTTTAACGACAAGACAGTTAACTTTATAATAGGCTCTAAAGCAGTGAATTAATTCTTCATGATGTTGTTCTCCCTCTCTCTGCACTAGGACTGAAAAACCGAACCAGGAAAGCCCTGGGCTTACGCAAGAGAGACAAGGATACAGATGCAACGTGAGTTTGCTCAGGCGCATAATTAACATGCAGCGTTTTACAACCACCCTCTGAAACAGCTTGAAAATTCATCAGTTTCAGAATGTGAATTAATAGAGGGATGGGTATCAAACCTAAATAGTCTTATGGTACTGTCCAAGTTATGTCTCCAGCCTTGTCAAATAGTGAATGGTGAGTATTTATATATATATATATATATTTTGTCCAATCTTTTTTTGTTTTGTTTATATTAGTCAAGGTTAGATTGTATCAGTACCAAACCTCAAATAGTAGATTTGCCCTAGTGTTATGATATAATTGGTTTCTTCTTCCCTGCTGTTCAAACAGGAGTTCACCTGACAAAGAAGGAACTGGAAGCGGAAAGAAAGGAAATGTATGTAAATTTGTACGTTTTCAGTGAAAAAGGTGTGAAGTTTCCTCTCTGTTCTCACTCTTCCTCTCAGGGTTTGTAAGGATATCGTCCTATTTAACAAAGGAACTCATCCAAGTACAGAAGTGATAAAGTGATACTTTAGACATTGTTATGTACTACTGCCAGTGTGTTACAACACAGCTATAACTGCATTTAAACGATAACTTAGGTTTATCTCAACTTGGGTCCTATTTGTTTGTAGTTTTGGTCGTAATTTGTTATGATAACTTTTCGCCGCAGTAAATTCTGCGATCTAGAAACATGGTGACATCAAGGCAACAAAGTCTGAGGAGGCCAGAAACATGAGAAGTCAGACAATCTCGTAAACAAGCCAACAACATTTTATCAAAACCACTTTATTATTGGTAAAAACAAAAGTGAACCCATCTGAAATGTCAGTAATAATCCCTCTTCGCCCACAGCTACGTCAACTATGATAGGTTAAAGTTAAACCAGAAAGAACAAGGAGTCTACTAGAGTCTATGCATTGCAATGGATGTTTACAACCAGTTTGGGTTCTAATGTTACCGTTTATCTTTTCTTCCAAATAACTTAACATAACATTGGGTTTTAAGCTAAATTGATTTTTCATCTGAATGCTCAAAGCTCTTGCTCTGTCTTACTTATTTTTAGCAATTTTGCCACAATTCACTGTGACATAATGTTATTTTTACTGATAGGAATTATAGGAATAGGAACAACCAAATTGTAATAAACCAGACTCTTTTTCGAAAAAATTCTACTATTCTACTATAGTTCATCATTTATTGACAGAAATAATTATTTGCACTTCCACTTTTAGACTGACTTTACTTGCTGTAGGCTTTATGTAGCTCTCGTTTTTTATTATTCTGTCTGTTCTCCATTGTTTTTGCTAGAAAAAGGCCAATGGAGCACCGAATGGTTTCTATGGGGAGATTGACTGGGACAGATATGTAAGTACACTCCTTGTTCTACTTGCTCGTCCTCCTTCTCAATGTTTCTGCCCAAGCAGCGACTTTGCGGCTTTGCCATGATGAAATCCTTGTACTGCGCTGTGGCCATCGGTGTCACGCAACACTAGGTGTAAAATGACTGAGTAAACAGTGAGAATAGTGATAGCTGCATATTCTGTGAGTCAGCAGGAGCTTCAGCCAGGAAGCTGAACGTCTCAGGCATGACATCTGCGAAATCTGATCCGCATTGATATGCAGAGCTGTTCACAGGGAAGAGTTTAGCCATGCCTCCGTTACAGCGTGTGACAGACTGGAAACGGTTATCACCTTTCTCCTCTCTCTCTAACAGGCCTCTCCTGACGTGGACGAGGAGGGCTTCAGCCTCCGGCCCGGTGAAGAGGGCGATGATATCCTTTCAGTGATGAGAGCGAGCAGTCTTGGGACTCTTCTCCTGCAAAACTATTGACCTGTTTGGCTGACTGACTCATTGGATGAGTGCTTCTCCGCATTAAATAGGCCAAATCAATACTCTCTCCCTCTCTTGCCACATCACATGAGTATGCCCCTGCAGCTGCAAAAAAGAAAAAGGAAAAAGAAAGGAGCAGGAGGGCCTCCGGACAGTCACATTACCTTCAGATTGGCTTTCCAGTTGTCACTGAGCCACAGTTGTCATTAACAACTGACCCCCAGCTCACTGGTATTTTAAGTTTTTTCCTCCCGCAGGTGTCAGCAGCTGTAACTTTGAAATAGATTCATAGAGAGCTGGTACAGTGGAGACTACCCACGAGCACGATGATTTAAGTGTCAGTTAAAGCAGGTGTATTGCAGTTAACTGGGACACAGCAGACAGAGACACAGAGCTGACATCCCCCGCCTCTTTCGAGACATTTAAAAGAATACGTTATCTTAAAATGCTGTGGATTGAATTAGCCTCCGTATTTCACATTATTCTACTTTGTCCTTGACACGTGTTCACCGGCTGCCAAAGGGAAGCAGTTTTTCTCCTCCAGCGACTCCGAGGAAGACGAGGACAGCAAGAAGAAGTTCAAAATTAAAATCAAGCCGCTGGTGGCGGACAGTGCCAAGTGTGTCCCTCCATCTATGGACGAGCTAAAAGCCTCAGTGGGAGGCCTAGCCCTCTCTCCATCTCTGGTGAGTGCTGCTGAACAACAGCATCTACTGAAGGGAACACACGCTGCAATTTATATATCGTAACAGCTGTTGAATTCTGTCTTACACCCTCCCTGTGTTTCTCTTTCCTTCTCTCTTCTCTGCTGTCATCTTGTAGAAGAGAAGTCCGGTAAGCCTCTCATTCATTTTCACATCTGTATCACCACCAACAAGGATCCCATGGCATGAATTCACTTGAGATGCTTGAGAAAGTTTATCTCCGTTTGATAGTTCATTGATAAATCCTCTTTATAGCGTCACCCTTTTTCCTGCATGCAGTTTGTGTCTCACCCTCAGAGTCCTTTCTGTCATATTTAGGCCTTAAAAATACCTCACCTTGGTTTTTTTTTTCTGTTTAGCTACAGCTTTACTTGAACCTGTCTGGCAAAGTGTCTGTGTTACATAATGCACGGTAAACATAACACTCACACAAAGCTCCAAACCCATTGATTTGGTCTCAGCGGAGCTTACATGCCGAGCAACCTGCTAAATTGAACGCCGCGTGTGTTGCTGGTATTGTCCTCACAATCTCAAAGGTGTTATGGCTCATGTTGCATTGTTAAGGCTTTGCGGTGCAAGTAAAGACGTGCGATGTGTGCAGTTTTTAGTGTGTGTCCATTTGACTGATTATTCACTCACTCTCTGACCCAGGTCTGTTCTCTCTTCCTTTTTGCTGGTCTCAGAGACGCAGCCCGGTGAGTGTCTTACGCCATCTGCTGGCTGTGTTTCAGAGCTGACAGCCTGAAACACAGCTCTCTAATCTCTGCTGTCTGATCTGTTTCCAAAAATGTAGTGCAGAAAGTTAAAGGAAATAAGAATAATACATCTAAGTCAGTCAGGATTTAGTATTAAGTAGTAGTGCTAAGTATTTCAAATGTTCCTAAACCAAGAGAAAAATTTGATATTTTTGGTGACAAAACAAAATGCATTTCCTTTTTGTTTTGTTTACATGAATATATTTTCTTGATATGACTAAAGTGATCTACCTTATGTAAGATTCCACTTAATATTTCTGCTTTGGTACTTGTTTTAAGAAAAAAAAACAATTTAAAGATGATTTAAGATGGACGTTTGTTTGTGGTGTTCATTGTCACAATATATCGTTTGTCTTTATCCTCATTTTATCTTGTGTTTGAATTCTATCTTTTACAGGGGCAGATGAAAAGGAACTTGTCCTGTAAGTACACCTATTGCTGACATGCTTACAGTGACAATGCAAACGTGCTGATGCTTAGCAGGTAAAATGTGTATCATGTTCACGGTTTTAGTTCAGCGTGTCAGCATGCTGACATTTGCTGATTAGCGCTAAGCACAAACTACATTTGAGGCTGATGGAAATGTCAGTTTTTCACGAGTTGGACATAAACCAAAGTGTTGAACAAACTGAAATTTTGACCTGATGATAGCGTTAGATGAAAAAAGTTCATGGATCACCAAAGTGACTGATGGGAACATAAATGTCTGTATCAAATTATGCAGTAAGGCCAAGATCCTCCTTGTGACAAACCATCCAATAGCTGTTGAGATTTCTCAGTCCGGACCAACTAACAGGCCGACATTACCATCCCGAGAGCCTCACCGCTAGATAGACTATAAGTAAGCTTTTTGTGATATAAGTAAATACAAGTGCTATATAGAGCAACAGTTGAGTTTACTTGTGTTTCTCAGGTGAAGAGATTGCCAGACCCAGACGCTCCACCCCCACACCAAGTCCTGCCCCTGAGACACCAAGGTCTGTCCCTGTTATAGCATCACTGACCACTGACTGATCTTCAGTCCATATGTTATTGGTACCACGACAGATGAGCCTTAAATAATGTCAGAGCAGGAGTTAGTTTTTGATTGCACGTTCCCTCTTGCAGTGACAGGCTGTCGCAGAACGCTCCTGCCTTCTTTGGGCTGCCGTCAGAGACCAAATATGCCAGATATGATGGTCTGTCCCCTATCGATATTACATCACCTTAATTGATACTAAGCACGGCATGCAGCAGAATCATATTACAAGACGCTTATTGTTTCTTTGTCCTAATCCAATCACAGTGGTCCCTGCTGATGCATGGGGAGAATCAAGACCACGCTCAGAATCACCGCTGAGCAGACGTTTCCCAACAGGAGGTGAGTTGGCATGAGTGAACCTCAGTAACATCAGTACATATTTGAAATGTTGTACTCTGTAGTGCTGAACTGGACACAACTGTCACACTTGTTGCAGCTCCTCCTCCGCTTCCTCCAAAAAACATTCCATCAAGAAGTCATTACGCCTCTTCTTCAGATTGTGCTGGTAAATTCAGCTATAACAACCAGCATTGTTTATCCGCTAAATCCCTTGAGAGCTTTGTTCTAAATGCTACCTCCTTTGCAGCTCGTCTACCCAATGGAAGGGCAGGTCGCAGGTCAGCCCCCATCTACCTGAACATCCGGTCTCCCGCTTCTTACCGGGGCTCCCCGGTCCCCGACCTAGACGACGTGTTCGGCCCCGCGGACGGCACCCGCACCGATGAGGAAACAGTGTCTCCCAGATGGGTTACTTTCACCAGCGACAGGCCCCCGCCGCCCGATGAACCCGCGCCTCCTCCGCCACCGGACTCTCCTGCTCCAGACACGCCCTCGTCGACCCCCTCCACCCCCTGCACCCCCTGCCTCTCTCCAGGACCGCCGCCCAACGAGCCCCCGCCTTCGCCTCCGTCGCTTTCGCCCGGGTCTCCTCCTCCTTTCACGCCACCAGAATCACCCCCCTCCATCGTGCTCGGACCTCCTCCTCCAGATGAACCAGCCCCTCCCCTGCCTCCCGACTTCTCCCCCTCTAATTCGCCTCCTCTGTGCTTCGACGACGAGGGGACCGATGAAGAGGTGCTGCAGTTTGCAGAGTACTGTTCGTCCCCGGCCCCGACCAGCCCCGTGCCCCCTCTGCCAGCAGAGCGGAGGTCTCCTCGGGCAGGAGTCACATCTCCTCTGGTCCTGGGGGGCGTGGGGGGAAAGAGGACTCCAGAGGGAGCGTACCTGAGAGATGATATCCCAGACTTTGTGGGTTCACCCAGAGAGCTGACGCCGAGCTTCAGCCGCACGCCACCTCCTCTCCCTCCAACCACGTACAGGTCTATTATGTCTTCCCCAGGGCCCTACTCAGGCAGCAGTGAGTACACTGGTCTCTTTCTAAATGTTTTCAGTGATAACTAAGCTGCCTGCACAAGATTGGAGCAGTCTATTTAAACTCTGGAGTGTCCTTTAGGCTGGTTTGTTTGAAAAAGTGAGAATGACGCTGCCATACATACCATCAAAACATCACACAGAAATGTTTCAAATGCAGTTCCTTTTGAGGTCAGAGTTGCTGGTTGATGTAACAATTCAAATTACTTTATCACATTATCATATTATCTTCCGTTTCATGGGAAACTTTCAGGATTGCTTTGTTAGTTTGAGCTCATGAGCACTGGCTAATGAGAGTGCTTCTTCTCGTTCACTTGTTCTAGAGAGAGTTCTTACAACAATGCTGCCCTAAAAGAAATATACATCATACGTTAACGTAATGTAGTTGAAGCTATTTTGTAATCACAGATCAAAGCTTTATTCATAATGTTATCAAGTTATCAAGCGGGCGTATATCGCCACAGACTTTTGGATGAATCAGACCCAAAGCACCTCTAAAAGGTTCTGCAGTGATTTTGTGGAATCCCAGAACCAGACCGACAGCTGCCCTCATTTATTTATATATTGAAAAGAGTTAGAAGTAAGAGATGATTGTTTTATTCATTACTTGTAGAAGTAAAATATGTTAAAATACCACAAACAGTTCTTCAAAATCTTCTTGAATTTTGCTCACAAGTTACGGTCTAAAGAACGTTCCGGTGGTGGCAAACAGTACTCGCTCTGTGAAAGTGACATGAGTGGTAATGTTTGAGCTGATGTTGAATGATAATCTCTCTCACTGTGATCTGAAGGCAGTGCTAACCACAGACACTGGTATGTGCCGCAGGCCCCTCGTCCCCAGCTCGTCCCGCCACGCCTCAGTCTCGAGGCAGTCCGGTCCCTCCGCCTCCTCCTCCTCGACCTTCCTCGCGACCAAAGCTGCCCCCAGGGAAACCCATCACAGACCTGGTACATGTCAAAAAGTCCTTTGTCTCTGGATGCCTTCCTGTCCTTTGATGACAGTCTCTCTGTTATTTGAATGAAATAGGTTCAATTGTTGTCGTGTGCTCTGTCCAGACTCGGCCCTTCAGTCCGCCGGTTTCAGCCAGCCCCCCACCTTACGCCCCCCTGGCCCGGGCAGAGAGCTCTTCCTCCATCTCCTCCATTACTTTACACAGTGCAGCATCCACTCCAACATTAGGACGGGACCTCAACATGTCCGCCGCAGGTACACTGCCAGCATCGTCATCTTGCTCTTCCTGTTTTACTTCAGCCTCTCATCTCAGTCTGTGTCCACGTTGTCTGTCGCTCATCATCGTGCCCTTGCCTCCCACTTTTGTCCCTCTCCATGATTCTCTCCTCCTCATGTCTCTGCTCACTCAGAGGCCTCGCAGCCTCTGGTATGGTTTGACCACGGCAGGTTTTATTTAGCTTTTGAAGGTGAGTCGAGCCAGATTGCTACTGTAGTCCTACCAGTGCATGGGCCAAAAGCAACTGCCCTCCTTTTACCCGCAGCCCTCTCCACGCTCATGGTCACTGAGCCAGAATGTTGCTGCCCATCCCATCCCATCCCATGTCCCACTCACTCACCTACAATCTGGTTTCTAGATGGATTGTTGAGTTTTAATTGTTTGCTTTTTTTTTGGTTTATACTCGCCTATCCCTTGTGTATAACCCATAGCTAAATATTTGAGCATATAGGGAAGGAGCCAAGACATTAGACATAGTCTACGTGTATATTTAGTGTATTTAGTGTGTGTGTTTTCAACAGGATGCTCCAGAGGACCCAGTCCACTCACCATGGGACCCCAGGACACTCTGCCAGTGGCAGCTGCCTTCACAGAAACTATCAATGCATACTTCAAAGGCGCAGACCCCAGCAAGTAGGCCCACATTTTCTTGATCTGGACAGTGTGACCATTACTGATCTAACGACCAGAATGCATTGATGAAATTCAGAAAAATTGTTATGAGTAGCAAGATGCAGAGTCTCCTCTTATAGACTAATAAAGTGAATACATTCCTGGCACATGTAAACAGATATTGACACCAAATGGATTCTGGGAGTGTGTGTGTGTGTGTGTTTTTCAGCATGATCTCTGATATCTGCCTCTTCCCTCCCTCTGTCCCAGATGTGTTGTGAAGATCTCAGGGGAGATGGTGCTGTCCTTCCCCGCGGGCATAACCAGGCATTTTGCCAGCCACCCAACTCAACCCATCCTCACCTTTTGCATCAGCAACTACAGCCGACTGGAGCAGGTCCTCCCCAATCCACAGCTGTTGTGCTGGTAAGAATTACAATACAGGCAAACACACAGTACAGCATCACTGGTCTTTGTTTGGACCAAATACGTCCCTCTCGTCCCACAGTGACTCCATAACAGACAGTGTGGACACCAAGGAGTTCTGGGTAAATATGCCAAACTTGATGAGCCATCTGAAAAGAGTGGCTGAACAGAAGCCTCAGGCGACATACTACAACGTGGACATGATCAAATATCAGGTATCAAATATCCATTTATCTATAGCTGATCTAACTTTAGTATCTATCCAGCCATATACCTCACCGTCTTGTGTTTCTGTGTGATCTCAGGTGTCAACAGAAGGGATCCAGTCCAGTCCTCTGAACCTGGCGGTGAGCTGGAGAGGCGACGCCACAAACACAGACCTTAGAATAGACTACAAATACAACACAGAGGCCATGGCCGCCCCCGTGCCACTACACAACCTCCAGTTCCTGGTTCCTGTGGATGGAGCCATGGCCAGACTCCAGGCCATGATCCCCCCCGCCACCTGGTAAGGGCTTGCATTCAGAATCGCCACGTGGGTCAAATGTAGAGGGGCTAAGGCCAACCTCGCACCATTACCGACCCTTTGGACCAAATTATGGGATGTTTAGATGCTATGTTGCAAGTTTGAAATGTATGTTTTTCAATCACAAAATGCCACATTAGACTGAAAATGTATTATGTCTTCAAGTTTTTCTGTATTGGCGTGGACATGGAATTAGGCAGAATTTGCTTCCTGTGGCTTTAATGCATATCAGACAGCAACATGTCCTCTGTCATGTGGAATTACTTTCTCATAAAGGAATCCAGAGCAGCAGACGATACAGTGGAAAATCCCAAGTCTCTCTCATAGATCTGAAAATGGAGGCAAGTGTTCATTTTTGCGTTCGTTCATTATATTTTTCCCTTATGTGACTGGATTGAACTGAAACCCCAGATACAAACCCATCTATACTGTATCTGTCTCCTAGGAGTAGGGGCTCTTCTGGGCCGGTTCCAGATCACAGAAGGTCCCTGTAAACCCTCACAGCTGGCAGTCCAGTTCAGCAGTGAGGGGTGCACTCTGTCAGGGTGCGACATCCAGCTGGTTGGGACTGGCTACCGGCTATCGCTGATCAAGAAGAGATTTGCTGCAGGTCAGTTTGAGTATCAGAAATGTGTGTGACCTCTTCGAAATGCACACAGACACTCCAGGCTGAACGCCTCCGCCTCTCTGACGTGTTTCGTTTTGCTTCACAGGGAAATATTTGGCGGATAATTAGTGGACCTTTTTGTGAACGGAACCAAAAGAATCAATGGCTTAAAGACTGTGAAGACTATGGATCCATCCCATGTTTAGTGCATTTGAAACGTTATCTTTAGCAGCCATTAGAGTCAATGGTTGAGATTTAACAGAATAACGGAACACACACACAGATAATATTTGACTTCATAACATCATATTCAGTAGACCGACGGCTGCTGAGTTTATGCAAGGAAATACAAATCATTCGTTTCGTGCACTTGGGAGACTTATGGAGTAAAGTATAAACCCTGATTCTTTGTTCTTGTTAACTTAATTGTGGATTCATACAGTGATCCAGCCTTATTCATTGCAGTTCTTTTTGTCTAATTGGTCGTCATTGCAAATGCACTGTAAAAGATAATGTGAATAGATTATATAATATTAAAACAATCTTAAACACGGTGGAAAAGGCTGGAAAATGTAAAAAAAAAGAAGAAGTGTAGTTTAGAGTTGCTTTGCAGTTGTATTTCAGTAAGTTCTAGGTTCCATGGTAATATCTGATTTACACTGCCACATTAAATCAGAGGTTTTTTTTCCCACCATGTGAAACCCATCTTTTATCGTTGCCGAAACAGAATGGATGTTTCTGTGCAGACAGCCTTTGAAATGTCACAGTCCTTTCTGTCAGTCTTGTGATTGAAGGTCAGTTCACAGATCAAAAGGTCCTGCAGCGCTGGAACAGCACTCTTAATCCGAAGATATGGAATTCTGTTTGTGTCTCACTCTGGATCGCATGAAGGGGAATTATGAGCACAGTAAACACACTTTGTTTGCAAGAACATGAATTATATTTTGTTACATCGTCACGCAAGGAATACTCAAATTTGAGCAGATAAATGATTTTAATCTTACATTTACAATCAAAATGTTATATACAGTAATAGCACTGGTTCACATGATTACTTTATGTGAATGAGGTTGCTCGTAGTGACAAAACCCACAGAGAATATTCACCCAAATAGCATTGTTCAGTTCATGGTTTTAGTTTCCCAGACTGCAATTTAACTGATGACTCAGATTAACACTCTGTCAAAGTTGGCAACTAGCTGGTGAACATTGTGGAGCATTTAGCTTCTAAAAAGGCAGACTTTCCATCAGGAGTTGGTAGGGACTAAAAACAGGCCTAAACGAAGACTAAACATTGGGTTTACATTCATCCAGTGGCCAGAAACATGAATCCAAACGAATGCTCATCTTACTGAGTGTCTGCTTGATGTGTAGGTAACTGTTCACCATGTCATCTTAAAAGATGTGTTGTGTTCACAGCTGGTTCCCGCTGCCCACAAGTAGACAATAAATCATCAGATTGCAGGTTTAGGTTTAGGTGTGTGCTTATGATTTTTCTTTTGCACAGATGGAATCATTTTTGAGTGATGTTAATTGCTCTCCAAAATATCATTCATGTGCTTGCAAAAACAAAAACCCACACATCTTGTCCCGTCCTGCGATCAGGATCGAAGCACACATTATGCAATATGTTTGCACATGCAGCTTTGGCTTTTTGCCGTTAACGGGTCATGAGAGCAGAGAGTTGAAACTGTAAGTAAATCAGTTCCAGAGGTTTGACCTCCTGAAGAACAAAAGCATTACTTTACCACTACGAGCACGTGCAATGCTGAGATACATAAACTTTCCCACGTCAAAGGACTAGACAAGAGACCAGTCGTATTTGCGGTGGTGTGCGAGTGGTCAAATTTTGTAACAAGGTGTGAATAACAGAAGCTGCTACTTTCACTGGATTCAGTTAATTTGTTCTGTTAATGTTACAGAAGTTGTGTTTGAAAGGGCCTTAAGATGTAAGACGCATACAGAGCCGGACGTGAGTGCCATATGGTGGTGAGAACGAGCTTTAAGATTCAGGATGAACACAGAGGGCTGACGATTGTAGGAGTTCCCTCTGATGCTGCTTAAAAACTTGGCCAATTCCTTTGACCGTGATCTATGATAGAGGTCTTGAAAAAGATTATTGGGGACATCACAGAAGAAAGAAATGACAGCACTAGTCTTGTCCCTGTCTTATTTTCTTCCTTTTCCACCATGTTAAACAATAAATGTTTTATCATTTTCTAACAGCAATATTTAAGTGTAAAAAGTGTACATAAAAAAAAGGTATGTTTTAAATATTTCTCTGGGCATATGGATGTGTCTGTGATTGTCTCTTGATTTATTGATGTCAGCACTCATGATGAATTAGGTCCTGTGTAACAACACCACCACTCTTCATCTATTGTTTGACATGTGGGTTTCTTGTACCAAAAAAAAAGTGTTGCTGTTGAAGAATAACCTCAAACGGTGCCGCATGAGATCTGCATTCGTCCATTCCAGTCTTATCAACGCAATACCAATTCATCCATTTCAATAAGGTCCTGATACGTGTGTTATTGTATAATCGTGCTATGAGAGGAGACTTTTTGCCTTCACTTAAACCTCCACTCTCTGTTTTGCTGTTGTTGCACCTTCAGAAACTCATTGTCAATAAATTTGGCATGTGTATTCATTGATATTCCCATTCCATGCATCTGATATAGGTGTTTGACATTCTCTTGTGTTTGACTTGCACACAAAACACACTTTAAATTTCATTAATAAAACAGTTCATGGACTTATGTCACATATGTGTTTGAACATCACATTTTACAGAATGTTTTAATGTGTTGACTCACAGTTTGGGCCTAGGTGTAATATTTATTTTAGTTTTGAAAATAATTTTAAATATAAATTATAATATGGTTATTTCAGTCAATTGAGAACAACAGTTCTCAGTGTTTCTGTTAATGATGTTTTTCTTTGCCTTATTTTTGACCATTCTCCCGTACGGGAGGGTTTCTGTAAGTTTATTTTTTCTACAACTTGTTGGCTGTATTCCTTTCACTGCATTAGACACAGAATATGCAAACATGTCATGTACATTTCCCATCCAAAGATTTTCAAAGTAAATATATGTAAAAAAAAAATCAATATAATGTAATACCTGTTTTACTTGGTAATAAAGAAGAGGAAATATGAGACATTTATATCCCTCTCATTTGTTCCAGGATAGAAAAGTATACTTTGGGAATATTTGCGAGATTATAAAATGACACTGCAATATGTGAAGTGAATCTCTCAACCGGATTTCCACTATTAAATTAAGAATGTTTTATTATTATTCTTCATGATCAACTTCTAGGTTCCTCAAAGCCTCAACTCGGCCCTGTGGGCCCTCAGACAGGAGAGGGTTTGGGGACAAAGTGTTAAAACAATCTCACTGCAAGGTCCATTTAGTCCATGTTGTGGGCGACTTACACATCCATGTTGGTTTAAAAGCTGAGGTCCAAAGTTAATTATTGACCTTAAAAAAGTGCTCAGATAACAAAAGAAATGTGTGAACATCTTTAAATCCATGTGGCAAACTCCATGCTGAATAATGGTGTGATCAAAAAACAGCTACTAAACAGACCTTACAGTGAGATTGTTTCTCAACTGCTGTTTCTAAGGTCAAGAATGATCTGAACTTAGATCCTCTAAGTTGCTTTTTTTAATGCGCTTTCAATCGCTTTCAGCCACATCTCAGTCTTTGTCAGCAGATGCAGTTATGAATAATGTATCAGTGAAATAGTCATTTTATTTTAATATCATGACAAACGTTGGAGCCGTTAGGCCTCCTGCATAGAAGCCCCGCCCACTGAATGATGGTTCATGGTTGCCACGACAACACCAAGCTCTACTAGTACTCTACTACTTTGCTCTGCTCTGTTCAAGAGGACCTGAAACCGGTAACAAAATATGTGTTAAATTTCTCTTCTGTAATATTTATTTATGACCAATTTGACACGACATAACCTGTAAAATCATACGGTTGTCTAAAAGTTGACAAAAAAAGAATCATGGGTTTACAAACAAGCCAAATCCTAACAGCTAACAACGCTAGCGTAACGTTAGCTAATATTACCCAGAAGGACTAGCGAAACAATGTTTGCATAGTTTTAACGATAAACGTGAGTTTTCATTTCGGCAAGCTGTGTTTGGTCCGCGTGCTCAACTGCTGGACTTATACTGTATGACGTCAACACTGTATATGTTGTTTAACTCGATAATAATTGACTTAAACGTCAATATATTTAGGTTGTCGTCGTGTAAAGACAAGGTAGCGTTCAAGCAAAGGGAAAGCTGTCATGTCTGACCTGCAAAAATCCCAAAGAAGAGAGAGCAGGAGGTACAGCAGGAGGTACTCAGAGATAAGCCATGGATTCAGAGGCAGGACAAGAGAGTGAGTAGACTATGCTGGTAATATGGCCCGATATCCACCATCATCTTTATCAATCATAAGCCAGTTAGGTATGCTTACCCAATACATGCGTATAGGTTGAGAAGTTCTATATACACATGAGGTCAGTCAGCCACAGTTTGTACATATACCAAGGTCCCTTTTCCTGACTTTTCCTTCACCCTGATCATGTCTTTCAGCTCTATAAGTAATGTGTCGAACTTAGATGAACCACACCATGATGACACCCGTTTGGCCGTAACAATGGAGAACACCTACCAGATGGGTGAGATTGCACCACAGCATCATCACCAACTACTATACTGTAACAGTTTAATACTGTAACAGTGTAATATTTGGGCAAAAATTCTATTTTATTCATTTGATTTGATTTGGCGAATTCAGTACTTTAGCCGCCATCATTAAAACTTTACACCAAGGCACTTAAAAAATGACATTTTTTAGGTAAAGGTTGAGCCTCTTCTGACTACAAAAACATGATGCATGCTACGGAGGCTGGAACAAGATCAGTAACATGTCAAAGTAGCAGACATTTCAATGCAATATTAATTGTGATTTCAATTGTTTGCTTTCAGATCGATCCATAACAATCATTTTTACTAACCAAAGCAACTGCACATCAAGTAAAACTCATTTGTCATGTTATTGTTGCCTTTTGTGTTTTGGACAACAGGACCTTACAGACGCATCCCCATTCCTGCTGTCACAGACATACTGAAGGATGTACTCACCAATTATCTTCACGAGGAGAAATATGAAGTAGAATGGTCTCAAAGAATGACAAAAACAATATGTGAGGTAAATAAAACTTTAAAAAGCACCTTCTGAATACCTTTAATTTCTGTTCTATGAGTTTCAGTCTTTTGGATTTACCCTCCTCAGGTGATAAGAGCCCGTGTGAAGGACCTCATGATTCCACGATATAAGCTTGTCGTCCTGGTCCACATCGGCCAGCTCACCGGGCAGAGCATGAAAGTCAGCAGCCGCTGTCTGTGGGATGCATCTAATGACACCTTTGCGTCCTACTCCTTCAAGAACAGCTCTCTGTTTGGCCTGGCAACTCTCTACGCTGTTTACTTAGAGTGACTGAAGCGGACAGTGAATAGATTTACGTTGGTTGTGCATTTCTCGATACAAAAAGTGTAGAGTTCTGTTGAAGAGTTCTGTATCTATGTTGTATATTTTGCCACGTATAAAGTGATAAAGCAAGATTTTTTTCTTTTAAAGCAAAATTCATGGTGTTTTATTTCATTTTTGGTAGCATGGAAAATTAAATCACATTATCCTAACAGTTCTGAAGATTTTATTTTTAAACTAATATCAGATTGATGATGACCCTCTTGGTATGTCCTCCTCTAGCAGAGCATGGAGAGGTCACTCCTTCGACAGCCTAGTTGACAGCACACTGATATTATCGCCTGCTTCTGGTCCCGCCAATAACGCTCTATTGCTGGCTCATCTGTCATCTTCAGTTTTGGCTCCCTGCTACCTGCGTAGAGACATCGGGCCATCAGTCATTTATATATCAGTTGTGAAATTATACCTCGAAGCTACAAAGACCATTTCAAGTGATTGTGTACTCACCGGCTGGCAAAGCCTCCTCTTCTCCCATCAGTCTTCTCCACCTGGATCCTCCGCAGGTGTACACCACAGCTCTCACGAACGCCCGGCCACACAACCTCAGTGAGTTTGTGTTATCCTCTGCCTGAACCTGTGCTACACACAACATGCACAGCAGCATCACAAGCAGGAGTTGGGATCTCATGTTGTTTGTTCTCAAGGAAACATCTGTCTTGACCATGTTATACTGTGGTCCTGGCAAACCCTTTTATCGAGAGTCTCCAGTGATGTCACAGACTTTCCCCAAGACGTCCTCAGGTAATACCTGTGTCAATAGGTGTGTATTATCTTTGATAACCATCTGGCTTTTAGCAGCGGATGTCATTCAGGATTTGTGTGGGAATCTAGGCCACTGTGATGATCACTGATTGACTCATTGAATGTTTATGAGTAATAATTGCTCTTTTATGTCCGAACTGCAGGGTTTTTTATAGCCATGGGTTTGGCTAAGTCTTGCCTAATGGATCACTTGACATATCCATCCTGCAACAAACTGAGATGATGGGTCTCTACATAGCAACATAGTGAAGTGTGTGCACACTATCATGACCATAAATCAGTGACTCCCAGAAGAGACAGTTGCATTAACCACTACACTTGTGTCTTGGAATCAAGTTGACCATGAAAGTCATTAACAACACATTTTTAGATATCAATAGCAGGGCCAAGCATAACCCAAATAAAAAGATATGGTTTGTCATATAACTGTATCTTGATTTAACCTTTGCAGTGCAGCTGTTTTTATCAACGCACAAATAGACATCATTGTTGGGCAGTGTTGTTGCCCATGTAACCTGCATTACAGCCTGGACATGTGAAGTTACAGTATAAACACATAACCTTTTAATAACTTTGTTTTCGTGAACACAAAGTAGGAAGTCTTCTTGGATTCCCATATTGTTATGAACTTAACATCTTTGAATAGGTCTTTTTGGGTTTGGTTCTTTTTTTTTTCCAGTAAAAGGGTCAATATTCCTGAGGATAAGAAGGCAACTTCTCTTACGCATCTTAAAACCGAACACATTTATCTATGCCTTACTAATGATTTTCTAATTTTAGAGCATATCAGAACATTGCATTTCATTAATTTAAATTAGCCTAAATCTTTTTTAACAGAGTGTACACAATTCAGACCTATATGCACAAGTGATATTGTTTTTATAAATACAATATTACATAACGTACATAATGATAACTGCATCGTCCATGCTTTGGGAGCATTATGTTCTTGATACTGCAGGTGGGCGGGGCTTTACATCCGGGAACCCCCGCAACCCCTGACGTGACCCTGCAGGATTGCAAACATGGCGGAGGTAAGAAAGTGAAATAAATATTAGGGGGAAAATAAAATTTATACTGCAAAATAGTTTGTTCAGTCCGACGTGTACATCGTTTGTGTACTGTAGCTTTATCCACACGGAATTAAGAACCGGATGTTTGCGTCGCTGGATATTATCCACTTCTTTACGCAAGAATGTTTAGTAAACTTCGGGTTTAGCTAACGCTAGCTGCGCTAGCTCTGACGGAAGGTAGTTAGCTGCGGCGTTAGCGATGTTAACTTCGCGGTTTTGTTCAAGAATACTGAACTGTCTATTTTGACGTTTTAAATTAGACACGCAGCGGTAGTTTCATGCTTTGAGATATTATGTGTGTGGTTTTCTGATTGTTAATCGTAGGCAGTTCATACCAAGCGTAACTTGGACGCGTTAGCTAAATATATAACGGAGCTTTAGCTTTGTATTCGTATGTAACTAACTTAGCCAGTTGAGTAAATCCACCTCGTGAGCGCTGGTCTGTTGGTGTTAACTGTGTCTGCACCCAGGAGGTTAACTCACTGTACCTGTGGGACTATCGAGATGAAACGTACGTTTCCCCCACAGGAAGTGGAGACAGTCCTCTTTGTTTCTTTTCTTTTCTGAACTGCAGTCAGCTTTAAGGAGACGAGCGCGCTTTTTTTCCTCGCCTCTGAACCCTCTGTGAATGTACATCTGATGAGATGTTTGCCTCTGAAGCTGCTCTTTAACTTTATTTATGTGTTTTCTCCTTTTCCAGCCCTCCCTCGGGAATTCGAGCCCAGGTACGTAAAGCTGGAGTGTTGTTGTTGTTGTTGTTGTTGTTTGGATTCATGAGAAAAGTTTAAAATCTGTTGTTCAAACATGTATTAAACATATTCAATTTGATTCGTAAAGCTACCATTTTGGCCAAAATGAAAGAAAGGGAAGAAGCACCTTGAACCAAAATCCAAAACACAGAAGTGATAGAAATTGATATTTTTAGACTTAATGACATGTTTAATATAAAATATTGTATTGTTATTAACACTGACAACCACAACAGTGATTTGTTTACACCTTTTAATGTTGGCAAACAACAGTAAAACACATTGTTATCATGGTTATAAAAAAAGAAATGCTTATTTTGCAGCTTCAAATTAAACCTATATGAATATATCTACAATCTATCTGTTCAAGCTACGGTTGGGCGATAAGATGTTTACCATCAGAGATTGTGTCATCGTGTTTATACCCTGCTATCAGTCCCTTTACTATTTAAAGGCTGTGTTAAAGGGACAGTCCCCCCCC